AACGGCTATGTATATATAATGTGTAATCCTTAAAATTATGTGAAAATTACATAATTAAATGTCGTCGAGTTAAATGTAGCTACGGTAAACGTTGTCATATTCACCAAACTCCCTTAGAAAAACTGCACATTTTAGACTTACTTTTGCTATAATCATTTTCCTTTATAGTTTAATTTGTTATTATTTTTGCACATTGACTTTGTAATACATTTTTATTTTTTTATTTAAAATGATGTGCACATTATAGAACTTTCCTACGTTGGATTAAACCGCTGTTTAAGAGTTTTCTCCTACTGGGTAACAGTTACACCTAACTCCCTCAGAATTACGGTCAATGTTAGGCTTCCATTAATGAAGAGGCCTTCAGTTACATTTTTGATATTTCATTTTTAAAGCAGTTTTATATTAAATGATTTAACACAAATATTATTAAAACAAAAATATAAAGTAATAAATATAGGAATAAACTATACTTTGAGTCTGCTCCCAGCCTACCGAATGAATGTTTCAGTTTTAAACGTTGAATAATGCAAAGTATTTGAAAAAAACCGCTATGTTAAATTATTTGTTGATTTAGCCCCATGACCTTCACATTTCCTGTGAATGTGCTGTAAACTTTGACATACCATTATACAGCTTTTTCTATTGAAGAATGAACTACCAAAGTCCATCTAAAGCAGGGGTGTCAAACTCAAGGCCCGGGGGCCAAATCCGGCCCGCAACTTCATTTTGTGTGGCCCGCAAGAGCTTGCAAAGAATATAATACGTTTATTATGCGGTTACATGTCACTTTACAGTATATCTATATATGTTCATTTTAATTAATTAATTTTTTTTATCTTTGATTTATCCTTAATTTTATTTATCTGTGTGAATCTGTGCTGTCCTGTTTTTCAATCTTACCCTGTTGCTGTTAAACTACTGAATTTCCCCACAGGGATTAATAAAGGTCCATCTTATCTTGTCTTACAGAAGCATGTTTCCCATAAACTATATGTCCCACAATGCATCTCATTTTTTGACATGCGCACTGAAGAGACTTGCAATTATTTGCCCTAGACTTCTGCTTTCAGACGTAGTTAATTATGAAGTTATTACCCTATCCAATAAAAATCCAATGCAGAGGCTATAATATAATACAATATTTTATATATATTATGTATTTGTATAGTTACAACCGGCCCTTTGAGTGCAACCATAATGCTAATGTGGCCCACGATGACATTTTTGTTTGACACCCCTGATCTAAAGAATCTTCAAATGTATTTTTAATTTGTGGTCTAATGAATGGACTGCCGCTGAAAAACATTCTGCTTTGAAATAGACAATTCGAGTTAGTCTACCTTTTTAGTTGTTAGTTATACACCCATGTTTAATCATTAATTTGACCTGTCCATAAAATAAACAACTCAAAGTTGGATATTAAATAGATAATTCAGGCTGGGCAAGATGTAATTCATAATGTAATAATAGTTGTTCTATGTATCTACTTTTCTAATTTACCTTACTATTTATATTTTGTATCTGCATCTTTAGGACAAAAATTAACATCAACAAAGATGTCTGCAGCTAAAGGTGTAGCGATCGGCATTGACCTGGGCACCACCTACTCTTGCGTGGGTGTTTTCCAGCATGGAAAAGTAGAAATCATCGCCAACGACCAGGGCAACAGGACCACCCCCAGCTATGTGGCGTTCACTGACACCGAGCGGCTCATCGGGGACGCAGCAAAGAACCAGGTGGCTTTGAACCCTAGCAACACGGTGTTTGATGCAAAGAGACTGATTGGTAGAAAGATTGATGATCCAGTGGTGGAGGCAGATATGAAGCACTGGCCCTTCGCGGTGGTTGGAGATGGAGGGAAGCCCAAAATAAAAGTGGAATACAAAGGGGAAGACAAAACCTTCTACCCTGAGGAAATTTCCTCCATGGTCCTGGTAAAGATGAAGGAAATTGCTGAGGCGTACCTTGGCCAAACTGTGTCCAATGCAGTCGTCACAGTCCCAGCGTACTTCAACGACTCCCAGCGACAGGCCACCAAAGACGCAGGTGTCATCGCAGGACTGAATGTCCTGAGGATCATCAACGAGCCGACGGCAGCCGCCATCGCTTACGGACTGGACAAAATCAAGTCAGGAGAACGAAACGTCCTGATCTTTGACCTGGGTGGAGGCACCTTCGACGTGTCCATCCTGACCATTGAAGACGGCATCTTTGAGGTAAAATCCACGGCTGGAGACACTCACCTGGGTGGTGAAGACTTTGACAACCGCATGGTCAACCACTTTATGGAGGAGTTCAAGAGGAAACACAAGAAGGACATCAGCCAGAACAAGAGAGCTTTGAGGCGGCTGCGCACAGCTTGTGAGAGGGCCAAGAGAACGCTGTCCTCCAGCTCCCAGGCCAGCATTGAGATCGATTCTCTGTGCGAGGGCGTCGACTTTTACACCTCCATCACTAGGGCGCGATTTGAGGAGCTGTGCTCCGACCTCTTCAGGGGAACGTTGGAACCTGTGGAGAAAGCCCTGAGGGACGCCAAAATGGACAAGGCACAGATCCACGACATCGTCCTGGTTGGTGGCTCCACTCGAGTCCCCAAAGTCCAGAAACTCCTGCAGGATTTCTTCAACGGCAGGGAGCTGAACAAGAGCATCAACCCAGACGAGGCGGTGGCTTACGGGGCTGCCGTCCAGGCGGCCATTCTCTCAGGAGATACCTCGGGCAACGTTCAGGACCTGCTGCTACTGGACGTGGCACCTCTGTCCCTTGGTATCGAGACAGCTGGAGGAGTCATGACATCTCTGATTAAACGCAACACCACCATCCCCACAAAACAAACCCAGGTCTTCACCACCTACGCTGACAACCAGCCCGGGGTCCTCATCCAGGTCTACGAAGGAGAAAGAGCCATGACCAAGGACAACAACCTTCTGGGCAAGTTTGAGCTGACGGGAATCCCACCCGCTCCACGAGGGGTCCCGCAGATCGAGGTCACCTTCGACGTGGACGCCAATGGCATTTTGAACGTGTCTGCGGTGGACAAAAGCACCGGCAAAGAGAACAAGATCACCATCACCAACGATAAGGGCCGACTGAGCAAAGAGGAAATCGAGAGGATGGTGCAGGATGCCGACAAATACAAAGCTGAGGACGACGTTCAGAGGGAAAAAATCTCTGCCAAGAACTCCCTGGAGTCCTACGTCTTCAACATGAAGAGCACTGTGCAGGACGACAACCTGAAGGGCAAAATTAGTGAGGAGGACCAGAAGAAGCTGATGGAGAAGTGTGAGGAGACCATCACCTGGCTGGAGGACAACCAGCTGGCTGATAAAGAAGAGTACGAACACAAGCAGAAAGAGCTGGAGAAAGTGTGCAACCCCATCATCAGCAAGCTGTACCAGGGAGGAATGCCTGCAGGCAGCTGTGGAGAGCAGGCCGGTGCCGGCTCCCAGGGGCCCACCATCGAGGAGGTGGACTAAAAATAATATGGACTCTTATCACTGGGACTGTTTCAATTACACTGTAACATTTATAGCTTATTTTAATATGTTTTCATCATTAAATTAAGATGGTAATGTTTTGTTTATATATTCCATTTGAATGTACTTTTCATCTCTGACTTGCTTGACTCCCAAGGGCCTAACATCAAAGATGACCTGAGAATTGCTCCTTGATGTGGACTCTGTTATCACTGGGACTGTTTCAATTACAACATTAACTTTATAGCTCATTTTAATATGTTTTTATAATTAATTTAAGATGTTTTGGATTATATGTTCCAGTTCAATGTACTTGTCATCTCTGTCTTGCTGGACATTGCAATAAAGATGAGACCTAAATATTTTTGGTGTTATTTTGGTTTCTGGTTTAAATCTTAGAAAAAAGTTTAAAAGGAAAAGATATCCCAGATGCTACCTCCATAAAGTTATTTATTGCAGGACTATTTTACCTGAACCAAACAAAGATCCAAGTCGATTGTGGATAGTTTTCTGACCATCTGTAGTCATTACTGCCAGATTTAAATTAAAAATGATTCCCATTGGCTTTAACAATGTTGCAGCTAATATAACAGAGATTATGGGATGTTTTGAAGTTACATGGGAACAAACACTGAAAATATAAAAAATATCCCTTGAAAAAACACCCCTCTTCATGAGGATTATAATCAAATCAGTGGTTAATGACGTACATAATTTAAGATACTAAAATTGAACTCTTATACCCCAGTGTAGACATACTAAATATAAGGGTAAGTATTGCAATATTACCATTACAATATAGGAAGTACCCAAAATAAAACTACTGGTAACACAACATTGACCATTGTAGGATAATGTAGTATTAGATTAAATAAATATTGTTTTAATGTTGCAGCTGGCAAAGGTACATTTTAATATGTATTCAATACAAATAAAATACTTGCCACTTAAATGTATGTACAGGGGTAGCAGTATCAAGTAGCGCTACAAAATAAAAGTGTTACTTATGTAAATGTACCTAATTACTTTCTCCCACTGCTTAATTGACTACGGACAATGAAAATATTGTTTTTGAAGGGTTTGTTCGTTTTCATTTGTCACATAAAATCTCGTCCCTATGCTGTGAAATGTTCTCAGATTGCATTTCATATTTGTTCATCTAAAGTATTATGTTACTTATTACAGATATTTCCAGGATATTCGTACATAAGTGACAATATTTCAAAGTTACCCAACCCTGGTACTGTATATACATATATTTATTCAAATGTACATTCCCACCTGCATATTTTAGTGATCACATGTTATGGCTAATGTGGATCTAATGAAATACATACAAATAAATAAATAAATTAGTGCTAAACTTAACATTATTAAATATATCCCACTTTAAAAGAATGTTCTTAGAAAATAAAAAAATCATTCAATATTGCCTTTGAATCTTTAAGTCGATTTATTTATATCCTTTTATTTTGTGAAGCGGAAATTTCACAGGAAATAGAACAAAACAGTTTCCGGTCACCACTTGAGTCCCGCCCCACTAGTCTGTTCCATCTTGTATTTAGCAAAGAACAAAAAAAGCCCGACCTCGGTATGGGGCGCATATATTAAGTCAGATTTTAAGAGCATATCTCTAAAAAACGTGAGGTGTAACGGGACAGCATGCTTGGAAGTGGGGCACCGCAGAGAAACCACAGCCACACCCCGGAGAACAGCTAATGTTAACGTTAGCTTCCAAGCTATCGAAGCTAAGCTAGCTAATTAGCTACGGCTAGTATCATAGGAGAGGACAAGGCAAGCTCCTATTTGAACCAGCTAAACTAGCGGTGTTATTTAGAGACCGTTAATGAAATTTACCGTCGGGACTTCTGTGAAAATGGAACAACATTTGTGTTGATTGTCTGCAGAGAGGAAAAGACCCGGGCTATGAGGATAGAGGCTCGCTAGCCCGCTCCTACCAGTTATTTTTCGTTCCGGAGAGGAACCACAATAAGCCGCGGTAAGTGATGCTACATTCAGCTAGCTGTTAGGACGCTTTAATGCTAAGCTAACCAAAGTTAGCTGTTACAGGGGGGTTTCAAACTTGGTGACAGAATCAGAATTTATTGCCAAGCGACTTTGGGTTTTCACGTACAGGGATTTGCCTTGGTCTCTTGGTGCCTAGCAAAAACAAAGATGCAGGAAATGAATTTAAAAATCGAAAGCAAGTTATTACAAAGCCCCAGACAGATAAGTATAGAACACTAAAACATTACAACCAAACGACTTAAATAATATATCTGACTTGGAATGTAAGAGCTGTTCAGTTGTTTTAAGTTGGGGTTTTCCGCAGAAATGGGAAAACATTTCCAAATACGAGTGTCTTTTATTATATTTTCAGGGGCCTTCAGTTAAAAAATGACTTAGTTTAAATGTACTACCGTTCATTCTGATGCATCGTGTACAGTTTTGTATTCAGTTAAATTTATGTTACGCTATTTTTGTTTGTACATGACATAATAGACCGTAAAGCAGTGATGGAGAAAGTATTCAGATTCGTTAATAAAGTACTAATACCACAGTGTTAAAGTACTCTTAACAGAGCTCTGCATTTGAGATATTCCTTCATTAAAATGATGTAACTATAATCAGGAATATATGGTTAGACTTTTGAAAGTATAAAAATATCCGATGTGACTGTATGTATATATGGTATCATTAGATTATTATTAGTCATGCATTAATGTGAAAGCAGGACTTGGTTGGTTAAGGTGAAGCTCATTTTAAGCTATTAACGAATGAATATTTTCAATATAGATTCAATTAATTATACTTTTTCTGTCAATACATTGTTTGTTTTATAAAAATAGTGAGAAACAATTATATCAAGCACGATGTGACACCTTCACATGTTTTATTTTTAGTCCAAACTTCAGCATCATTACTAATACATTATCATCATTTTCATTATTCAAAGGGAAAGGCAGCAATCTAAACAGTGTTATGTGGTTTGGTAACAAATAAAGTGAGCATAGTTGTATTATTATTACACATCAAGTTGCATCCTGGAGTAAATACTGGATTATAATGTTATGCTCTAACCACAACAAACATTTTAGCCTGGTTAAAATCTGATCAACTGACTCGCTTATGGAAGTGTTACTTAATTGCATAGTTTATTGTTCGTTATTTATCAGGGTATACTGGAGGACATTTATTACATTACATGTTACTTGTTAGACGCTTTTTATCCAAAGCGATTTACATACTCAATACTGTGGGCAATCCCCACAGGAGCAATTTGGGGTGAAGTGTCTTGCCCAGCGACACAACGACATGCTGACTGCATTGGGACTCGAACTTGCTATCCTCTGATTCGAAGATCAGCGCACTAACCCACTGCGCCACACGCCTCCCCTTATGGGCTTATAATGTCCAAACAAAAGTATCTTAATAGCTCCAAAGTTATATTTTGAGTCAGAGGTTGATGTAATGCTTATGTATACTTTAACCAAAGCCACACATCTAATTTCTTCCTAAAAATAACAATGGAGAGATCCAGTTTGATGTAAAGCTGATATAACCTTGACGTCTGCTTTGGGAGATTGGCATTGAATCATGGAAAAGTATTCAGTTTTCATTCTGCAAGCTCCTGTATGAGTAGCATGCAATTTTCTGTATTATGGTAACCGCTAACATGTATTCTATGTCATTAGTGGCACAGTTTGTGGACATTTCACTGTTAATGCTACAGTATCAACTTTTTCTCAAAAGTATGCAACACGCCCAATAAAAATGCTTGATACCTTACTGCCTGTCATCTAAACACTTTTACTTCAAACAAATTATAAAAAGAACAGAAATTACTTGATGTATTTTGGGTAGATGTGGATTATTGACTTAATATTATTTGATACCACTTAGTTGGAATGTCACACACACATTCCCCACAATGAGCTTCTGTTATGCAAAACTGTAAGGGTTTGACTTCAACCATGTGATGTTGCTCATTCGGCACCACTGACACACCAAATGTCACGTCAGTCGTTATGTTTAGAAAGAACTGTCTGAAGCTCTTTTTCCCTTCTCTATTTTTGACTGTCTTACAATGGATTCAAGTTTAACAAAAATGAACATGTGAGTTTGTTGTTTCCACATGGGATGTCGAGGAAGCTTGCTTCTCCTTGGAAAATGATACTAATATTCTCCTTTTTTCCAAAGTTCCGTATCATTTTTCCAAACCCATTATGGTACAAATGTTTTTTTAAATGTTCTACATTTAATGCTTTTTTTTAGGTTTTCAAATAAAACATTAGATAAAAGCATCACCACAAAAACAATCCTGAATCAATCCAATCAATAGACATGAAAAATAAGAAATGACCCACTACCTTTTATTTTATAATAAAACAGACAAGACACTACAAACAGTGAAGGACACACCATCTTTGAAAAATAAAAAAACATTATAACACAGAAACGTTAATAAAGGCAGATCAAATGTAACAGTCAAAGTACTGTACTTAATCGCAAAACTGAAATACTTGACTGAGTATTTTCTTTCATAATGCTTCAACACCAACATTTGAAGGGAAATATCCTAGTTTTTACATTGCTACTTTTATTTTGGAGCTGCCGTTATTGGACATTAGAGTTACATATTGTCAAATGAAAGTTTTGCATATAAAACAAAATATATAATATATAAATAAAAATGATGCTTTGTTATAAATTATAATTTTATCTGGACAATTAGACAAATAATCAATTATCAAATCAGGGGATTGCCATCTTTAAACCTTTAAGAATGATCACATTTAATTAAAGAAAAAATGATGGTGATTTTTATAATGTTCTGCATTGGGTACTTTTATGTAAACATAATACTTTGAGTTCTTTTCTCTGATTATCCTTTCTTTTAACAAGGGAACATTTTAATTTCAGGACAACTTGTACCAGGGTATTTTTTACAGATAATTATTAGTACTTTCACTTAACTAAAGGACCTAAATACTTCTGGTCTTTCTCATTTTTCACATTGCTTGTTTTCCTCCTGACTTCAGATACAGTAGCTGCAGGCGTCTGCCTCCTCGCCTCGGTTTGAAACACTATCAGGCCACACTGAGTGCCACATAATATATCATTGGAAATCGGTTCACTGCGTTTTGAAGAAACGTTGGGTCGTAGGGGGGTGGGAGGGTGAAGATCCGCCTCCTCGTCTACTCTGATATACTAGTGCATCCAAACGACAGCGGTGCTTTAAAAAAACAAACAAGCCTTGCAGTGCTGCATTCAGAAGAGGACCTGAGGGCGCGCTTCATGTGTTCACAGAGGCCTGCTGATGTTGCCGGCTGTCCTCAGGGCTCCAGCTGACACTCAGATGAGCAGCTACATTAACCCCGTTATAACATGATGTTGCATTTGTCAATTAGCACGGCTCAGTGTTCACGCTGAGAAACATTCAGGGGGCTGATTTAGTCATGAAGCTTGGTGGATTTATTTATTCATAACCATGTTTGATTTGAGTTGGATGGTGCTGTCAGTCAGCTTCCTCCTGCTCTCTGATCTTCATGCATGTGAATATGTTTTTCTTCTCTTTGCCCTACTTGTGGGCTGTTTAATTATGGGTTTTATTTGTTAGAGCATCACCATCCCCTATATTTCATATTTATTAGTTAAACATCCGATGATACACCCTCAGCATTTTTTAAGTAACAAGAAAACATTGAACATTTAGGAATTTAAAGACATCCCTTTGGGCATTGGGAAATTGTAATGGCATGGCAACATGAGAAATTGATTACAAAAATAATAATGTGTAATTAGTTATAATTAAAACAATCGTTATATGCAGGACCTCCAGTTTCCATTTAGTCTAAATAAACGTTAAGAACATTCTTATGAGAGAAACTCATTCTGGAGGGAACTTTGGAATGTTAGCCTTTTCAGACCATTTACATGCACATACAAACACAATAGGGCCTCTTTAAAAATATTCATGAAGTATATTTTAATCTAGTTATTCATAAATTACATTTTCATTTAAGTATGTTTTTCTAAAATAACATGAAGTGCCTTTTTTATTTTATTTAAATGTAATCTTATTATACATTAAACACATATTTATTCAGTACATGAATTACTTGTTTGTATAAGTTTAGGCTATATCAGGCACATTTGTATCTTAATATACACAAAGTGCATTTCAACCCAAATTAACATTCAGTAGCCTACATTTCAATCTAAATATAGGTAACGTATTAATAAGTAGTTTTTGGTGTTGCATAAAGGCTCCCTTATGACCGACTTATTCTTCTAATTAAAATCTTTATGAATACTTAAACACTAAATATGTTACTAAAGTAGAGAGCTTCACTCTCTCCTTATTTTTGAAGGTGTTCACATCATTTATGCTCTCGACGTCACATTTCAGCTCAAACTGAACAGTTAATAATTGAAATATATTCATGTTGAAGTGCAGCTGCCATTTTGTCTCCCCCACAACACTCCGCTGTTTATCACTGTGTTTCTCAGTGTTCTTACACACAACTCGCTCTCACCTCCACAGTTGAACATCCAGTTTCATGTCCGAGCCTGTCACCTGGTAACTGTCCCAGATAGATGAACTGTGGGAGATAAAGACTGCTTTCTATCTCAACAGACCTGCAGAGGAAACAGTCAAAGAATTCCTAAAACATTGCAGGATTGTTGAGACATGCACTACAGATTACAACTTCAGGAAGGCTGATAAAGTCTCTAGATGTTGGTGCACGTGAGGGTGATTTTGCAAATGGGTCACTTTAACAAGAGTGCAAGAATGCATTTTCCAGTCTGTTTAACACATTCATTAGACGATCTTCTGCCCAACTGAAGTGGAAAACAGGCCAATCACATCACTGATGATCCACATTTAAACCAAGGGGTTGTCCCTTCAGCAAAAAACAAAACATATGATTTGAGCCCGCTATTGACTTCAAGTTTGTCATCAATTTGATGAAAAATTGATATTATACATATGCTGTTAAAGATTTGTTTAAATCAGAAATTTCAATAAACAGAAAAATAAATTAAGCCAATATTTTTTGCTAGTTAAAAATCAATAGGATGCTATAATCAAGATATGTAAATTAGGATAAATCTGCAATCTCCAAGACCAGTACATGTTTTGTTTTTTTTGACCATGCATACACATTAAACATTAAAACATTAATCTCAGCAAAGAGAAGAGATGCAATATGCCAGATTATAGCTAATAGCTAATTTCCATCTGTGGTCCTCAGAGAGGTTCATAACAATCAATAGACAAATAATAACATTGCATGATCTCAATCAGTCAAACAATTTTAAAACCTGATTTAAGTACAGCTCAATAAATTAATACATAGTACACTTGAAATAGATTTACATGATCTCGGTCACTCAAATAATTATAAAGCCTGATTTAAATACAGGTTACGAACATAATACTTAGTACACTTCAAATACACTTAAATAAAATATCTAAGATATAGTATGACAATACAGTTAAAATAAAAAAATTAATAAAAAAAAACTCAGATTACAGTGTAATTTAATGTTGTTGCTTAAAGGTGGGGTATGTAATTTTGGAGAAACCAGCTCGAGTGCGTAGAATTTGAAAATACACAGCCGGAGAAAATCTGCCACTTCCTTATAGAGCCCCTCCTCCAACACACACAAGCGCGCACATGACCAATGAGGGCATGAGATAAGTTTGTGAACAGATGGAAGGCTGACAGGCAGGTCGGCCATCCAATCATTTTAGCCGGGCCGGCTAAAATGATTGGTCGTGCTTTTTACAGTATTACGGCTTCCACAGATGACATTTTGTTATGGATTTTTTGTCAAAGCACTTAAGATATTCATTGCTATCGGGATGTTAAGAGCATTCCATGGAATATAACAAATAGTGTATCTCGAGCCGGTTTCTCAAACTTACCTACCCCACCTTTAAAGCTTAACTGATAATAAAAGATAGATACTGATAATAAAAGATAGATACAAATTAATGTTACTAATACTAATGAACTTTTAATCAACAGTTCCAAAAAATAAATGTTGGTATGCGTTTGAATTACCAATAAAGAAGAAAATGTACTTTAGTAGGGATTAAAATGGGTCTGTCCATATCAACTCAGTCCCATGAAATTGTGCTTTTATATATGCATTATATATTAACCATTTCACATTTAAACGTTTCAAGGAAATTACATTTCTTCCTTCGTCCAAATATCTTTAAAAGTGTGATTTGCAGCTCCAAGGCTATACAAAGCAATATCAGTGGCACTCTCAATTTTGTATGCACATATGAATTCTCAATTTGACATAACTATATTCAAACTACACAGAATACAAATGTGGTTGCAAGAAAGGAAAAATAGCAGACATATACCATTTTAAATTAAAAAGAAACAAACATATATATTTTATTTCTTCATTCAGGTAAAAAAAAAAGTATATTTATGATTAGGAATTGAACTGAAAACTAACCGTACCATTTAAAGTACTTATCTGTCTACTGGTTAGAATGACAAAAATGTTTAAGTTGTAAAAATAAGTCCAACCATCTAAATTTGCAACAATGCTATTTATTAAAAACATTTAATCATTTATTTTGAACTCATAATTTGGCCCCAATTGCAATAATGTGATTCAGGTATTTTAATCATATCTATGAGTCCAATGCAATTTAATGGCAAAATTCAAATGTTTTTCTCTCTCTCTTTCTATCAAATCTTATAGAGAAATGTGTTTCCCCCTGCTACAGTCTGCCAGTACTCACCTCTCCTTCTTCTCCTTGTTTCCCAGGCCCTGGCCATGCCCTCAGGTGCACGGGCGGGCAATATAAAAGACCCCGAAGTGGCAGACCTCTTCTGCAAAGATGATCCGGAGAAGCTGTTCGCTGACCTCCGTGAGATCGGCCATGGCAGCTTCGGAGCCGTTTACTTTGTGAGTACCGAAGTCCCTCTGCGTTAATTGATTCCCGTTTACAGCTTATTCACTCGTAAACAAGATGCAGACGGATAATCAGACTTCTTTCAATTTCATTTTTCTAAAATCAGTTTTTTTTCCTTCAAAATCGTGCAATCCTACTTTGTGCTTTAGCGGGAATGTAGCACAAAATGGAAGTAAAAAAAAATGTGAACGTGCATTAAAAATATGTCACTAAAATCAGAAATCTTTTAATTTCTAATAATGGTTTAAACATTCCTGGAAAACATTCATGGTGATGAATGCGGCTCACTTCCTCACAGCTGCTGAAACCTAACCCTCAGATGGATGTTTTTGGAAATGTACAGGAGCTATTTCTCTCTCTGACCAGCAGTTCTAATAAAGCATACTCCCACTTTAGGCGTTTGGGTTATCTGTTGACCATTTTTGACATTTTCAAACATTCTGATATCATTTTTCAGTTGACAGAAAGCTGATTCCAAGGAACGCTTATTTTTATAGTTCTCTTCAGAGTTTTTGTGGCCAATTTCATGTCTCTACTTTTCATGGATCAAGCTTTAAGGCCATGCAAGCAGATGAGTTTGGACCAGCTGGCAGAAAGACCCGATATGAGCACAACAAATCTGAGTAAATCCAATGTGATTCAGAGACATAGAAACTGTAAGAATGTGTTTATCTTCTTGTTTTTATGAATTTTCTTGTGCATGGATAAGTCAGGGAGATACCCTACGTGTTCCTGCAGCCTGGTGCTGAGATTAACTTTAAGATAATCAACCTATTTAAATCTTTTATCAGATTTTCCTTTAAAATAAATGATCACTGAGCTCATAGGTCTGAGTGTTACTTTGTGGGTTCCTAAGAATTTCTTAGCTGCATTTGCTCATTAAAGAGGAAACTGAATCTCAAAACCGATCTGCATCAATTTCTCATGGTGGACTTGGACTTTATTGTGTGTTTCCTACAGCTCAGAGTGTATTTCAGTTTAGGCTACATCTGGATGGGTTTTATCTTTTGCTACATTTTCACCTACTGTCATTTACACCTAGCGTTAATACTGCTCACACATCTGTGAGACAGCGTTTCAGTCTGGATAGGTGGAAACCCTGTTTCAGTGAAAGATGGAGACGGATCTTATGTTTAACTAAGATATGTGCCTACTAAGACTAGCTTCTCGGGTTGCCCTGCTAGCTCACCTGGTAGGCAAAAAAATGCACATAGTTTGTTAATTTTTATAAATGTTCCAACATTTAGAAATGTTTTGGATCAATATGTTTGCGCATTTATGTAGTAAAATTGAAAGCCATGTTTACCCATTTTCAATAGTTATACTGTATACGTTTAGCTTTGATGACACATATTTGAGGGATATGAAACATTTGAAGATAATTAAAAAATACATCATAAGTTAATATGTCATCGTACGCCCTGGAGCTCAAGCAGATTTCAAAGGGTTTAAAGTACAATATCTAACATAACAAGCTGCCAAACCCATCTTGTGTTATTGTTATGATTGAATGACTTCCAATGGACAGAAAGTTCCATATTGTACATTAGGGCTGCACGATATTGAAAAAAACTGACATTGCGATTTTTTTCCCCCTGCGATATATATTGCGATATGAAAACATACAGGAATTGAAGAAAATACAGTTTTTTCCCCCCAAACCATCCTTTCTTGAACTTTAATGCTATACAATTGTTTTGTTTTTTTAACTATATTTAACCGGATGAAGAATTTTAGTCACGGACGTCTGGATCTTAAGTTATCAGAGCAACAAGCTGAGCTAGCTCGGTTAACGGCGCCGAACTGCCCTGGAGAAACACATGAAACTACTTTATTCAGTGTTTTTACCTTTAATCACGGGGTCCGTTTGCTTTGGAGATTTGTGATTGGTAAAAATCAAAATAAATAACTCGGTTCCCTCTAATCATTAACCCATGTTTGTATCATTGAGTTAACTCCGTGTGTTGCTGCTAGCATACATAACACCTGACGTGGAAACGTTACTCGTGGATGGGGCTACAGAGCCACTAGAAAGACAGTCGAACCCGGTGCATTTCTCCGTCTGAATGTGGAGCACTTTTGCTAAATGTTTAGACAAATTGCTCGTGTTGCCGCCCTGACATGCTAAACTCTTATTGCACTTTTGGTAACGAGCATTGTCCACATCGAGACGGGTAAAGTTTAACCACACCTCGGAGCGCGTTCTCTCCGCTGTGTGTGTGTGTTGCTGCATGTAGCAGCTCTGTGTGTGTAAACTGCCCCGCCCCCTCGCACACAGACGGGGGAGAGAGATCTCTCGTCTGGATTGGAAAGATCGAAAAATACTAAAAATAATCATAGACGCATTTTGCAGTCTTTTTGCATATTAGAAACGGAGTTGGCGACACTAAAACTGCAATATAATGTTTGTGTAGCATAATATATGACATATTTTTTTTAGATGTCTCCAGTACCGATAAAAAGACCGATAACGTCGGACCTTAACAGTACCACGGTCTTTAATAATTCAGCCCCGGGGCCCGTTTAATACCGGGGCTCGGTACCCATCCCTAGTTATTATGGACTGACAATCCGAACAGTAATGTATTAATGCATATGTATTCTAAGTGATTGTGTAAGAGGGGAAAACTGACCTTAAATAACCATTGACAGCATCAGTTGGCCTTTCTCCTTCCCATAACGTTTTTTTTTTCTTTTTTCTTGAGGAATTATTCTCCGTAGAAACAGCAGTGATGCGTCATTTAGTAATTTTAGGGTCTGGAGAAGGACTTTATTTGGTCATCTGAGAGCAGCACTCTCATTTAGGATTTAGGATTACGCCTTTTTTGAGGATTAAGCACTTGGAATAGATTATAGAAATGTAGTATTTTACAGAGAAAAATATAGTGTAGTTTTGTTGATAAATGGATCTCAGATATCAGAGTACTTTCATTGACAAACAATCACTGATGAAAAAGACAAAAGAAAAACAGCCTTTTAAGAGGTAAAACCTATTATTTACATTGGTAGTTTTCCCTAGTTAAATCCGTAAAAGTAATTCAATCTGAATCCAAAAAATAATCTGTAAATAAAGGAAATTGTTAGTAATATAATGCTGCCATTGTACTGGGCTGCGGCCACAAAGATGAAGATGCTTGTTCAAATGAATTTAAGTCACCGGGTTACAGTGGGCTCTCTCCAGTAAGCTGCTTTCTGAATGTAAACATTGTTTCTGTAATCGGGATGGAAGGGATTAGAGGAAACTGATTCCTCCTGAATAGGGATGCTTCCTTGAACATGTTTTTTAATCTGCATTTGCAGGACAAAGACTTCAAACTGTACGACAGTGACCTCAAACAGTCACTTCTCACTCGGAGAGTTTATCAAATTCCATACACGAATTAACCTACATTATGGGACAGGCTCCTCCTCCTTAAACACTTGGAGGTCTACACCTTATTTTAATATCCATTTGGCTTCATAAACTGTCTATCTGTTTTCATGTTTCTTTCCTAAGATATGTTCCCTCCCTTATATTTCCAGTATGGCTGGTGAATATGTGAATATTCAATTTTGAGATGTGGGACTATAGATCTTCTTAGTTTTTTGTCTTTTCATGGTTTTAAAGGCCACATGACAATAAAGCAAATACTATATTGTTGCGATATGGGTATTGGTAAGCATTGATCAGAAATATTTTATATTCTCCATATTGTCCAGCCTTAATTGCCAAATAAGTGAAAATATGTAGAATAATGTTTTGAGTGAATTATCCCTTTTTAATCAGTTATAACCTGATTATAATACCATCACTGCAAAAAAAGCACTGTGCTACAAATTGTAGTTCTAAACATAGGTCCATCATTTACCTGTAAACAGTTTTGTTCTACATTTTTGAAAACGAGGGCAGTGCCCCAAACGCTGTCTGTTTGGTCCCCGGCTGGCAGAATGAATCTTGGTGCAGAAGGTAAAAGAAAGCCCACTACTCAAGTGCCTTCGAGCAAAGCCAGTTACCAGCAGGACAGACAGTGTGAACACTGAGCAGCTTCCAGGAGGGAGAGGGTGACATTGTGCGAGTGTGTTCAGGGCCTTCTTTCAATGTTGCTACCCTGAATAAATAAAGTTTTAAAACATGTCACCTGATTACCGGTGTGACCAGGGGTGCGTCTCACGGTTATTTTTCATTTCCTCGCTCCTCGGGCTCGGTATCACCGGAAGTTGATTTGTCTGCACCATCTTGAGTACCGAGGAGCGATAACGGAGGAGCGATAATCGAGGAACTACCAGACCATCCTCCGGTGAAATCCTCAGACACTTGCCCCGCCCCCCTACTGTGTATCGCTCACTGATTGGACGATGCAGCGCATGCACTGATCTGGCTGCTGTCAGACGATCAGCTGTGCGGTGTCATCATAAACGGACGTCGCTTCACGTGACGCTCTGGAGGAAACGACGTCCCATTGCTCTTAAAACTCATTTCCCTGCTTCTCGTGGTTTCCTTGCGTCTCTCCATGCTTCCCTGGTGGGAGGGACTAGTCGCAGGGAAACGACGCAAGGATTCCATTTAACCAAAGTACGATGCACCCCTGTTTTCTCTTGAGTGTTTCTGATGATAGTGTTTTTGTCCCCCTACAGGCCCGAGATGTACGCAACAGTGAGGTGGTGGCCATTAAGAAAATGTCGTACAGCGGCAAGCAGACAAACGAGGTAACACGAAAGAAATTTGGTTTATTTTCAAATAAATAAAAAAAAAACTTTATTTTCTTAAGTAAATGTTCATCCTCTACTAATGAACCCTTCAGTTAATAAAAAATGTTCTGCCTTTTTAAAATCAACCTCATGTTGTCATATTCTTCTACTTTTAATAAACGTGGGAAAAGTGAATAAATAAGTACTTCCATATGTCTACCTTTTTGAACAATAATCATTCTTCATTACGGTACTTTTCGACAAACAAAGATGGGTCTAATTATTGATGTTTCATATATTTATCTCGTTTTTTCCTGTATATGAAATGTGCTCAAAAACACAAGACAAGCATCTTTTTGTATGTTCATGTTCAGAAATGGCAGGACATCATTAAAGAGGTGAAGTTCCTGCAGAAACTTCGCCACCCGAACACCATCGAGTACCGGGGCTGTTACCTGAAGGAGCACACAGCATGGGTACGTACTGATAGATGGATAGATACAGAGCTAAATACAAAGTCAACGTGTTTATGTGTCTACTGATAATAATATATAATGATTTCTCCTCAGCTGGTGATGGAGTACTGCCTCGGCTCGGCCTCAGACCTCCTCGAAGGTCAGTTTAACACTTACTGAGCTTTTAAAACATCATTATTTATGCGTCTTGTTTCTGTTTGTGACTCTTTGTGTCCTCTCTTCCCCTAGTTCACAAAAAGCCGCTCCAGGAAATGGAAATAGCTGCTATTACCCATGGTGCACTGCAGGGATTAGCATATCTTCACTCGCACAACATGATTCACAGGTAAAAGATGTCAATTGTTTATTAAAGCTTTTTCTGACAAATTACAATATTTTGTTCTATTACATTTAATGCAACACACAAAATGTTTTGTATTGTTTACAAGGTGTTACAGTTTAAAAAAAAGATTTATAGATTATTTTCCATCTCTAACAATTAGGATAAAAATGTATTTAACTTAACATTTATAGCTTGTGAACACCCATAACCAACTCAACAGATGTTGCAAACCCCTACATATATAGAAATAAATAATGTAGATAATACAATGAGAGCAGCAGCAATCGATTAAAATAAATAATTATACAACACAACATTTTTTTTTATTTTGATAAGGGCTGCAACTAACCATTATTTTTATCATTGATTAATCAGCAGGTTTGGTCTATAAAATATCAGTAAGTAATCTTGTTTTTTGAAAGCTTAAAGTAAAATGTTCTCGCGTTCACTAATCATTCGTAGCTTGTTGATCCCTTAATCAGCATCATTAAATCATCTTGAACAACACAAAATCAGTCAAATCAATGGTGAAAAGAAACATCTGTAAACCCTTGTTTTTCAAATTGCATTCATAATAACAGTTAAGATGTGATGATAAAGGCTTTGAAATGCCTTGAAAGAGCCTGGCCATTTTTGGACTTGACCTGTTAAAAAGCAGCAGGAACAAACACTGTTAGTAAGGACGGATTCTTTGTGCAGGGATGTGAAAGCAGGGAACATCCTGCTGACGGAGCCCGGACAGGTCAAACTGGGGGACTTTGGTTCTGCTTCCATCGTGGCGCCTGCCAACTCCTTCGTAGGGACTCCCTACTGGTGAGTTCCTTCTACAACACAACATTTAATCAATGAGAGGGAAGTATGGGGACATTAAGGTGCCGTTTACACGAGGACAAAATGGGTTGTATCTGCTACTTTTCTATCGCGTATAGCCCGTTCGTTTACACAAGGCCGACACGTAAACGGACCCGCAAACGCGGAAACGGACCCCCAAACGATAACGGGTCCCAAGGTGGATAGATCTGCAAACGGAACGCTCTGGGGGGGCAAACGGCTCCGTGTGTACGCCCTATATGATCATTTTCTGATAACGATGAAATAGCCCCGCCTCCCTCTCCCCACGTCTCCTGCTCAGAGATCAGCTGCTGGGCTGTCAGAAGAGGGGGAGGAAAAGAGAGGCTCCGTTTATTATTCTTATATTATTATATAGAGTCGTTATCAATTTGTTTTAAAGCTCAATAAATAACAAAGAAGATCTCTGACCGGCACTTTTCTAATTGTGTCCGGAAGATTTAAACTTTAACGGACATGTTGACCGGCGAACATTTTTTTTAGCGGAAACTCTGCCGCACGGTTCCCTCGTCCCTTGGAAGAGGCGGAGAGGTGGGTGTTTTTCATCTGCTGGTGGACTACCGGAGAGATTTACAGCAGGAGCACACGCCGTCCACCGCGGAGAATAAACAGAAGGGCAACCATGGCAACCATGCTCCGGGGTCTTCTTCGCTGCTTTTGGTGTATTTTGTGGCGGCAGCAGCGCCACTTACAGGCCCGGCATATGTACTACAGCGTTTCCAGCGGGTCGAGCGGTCACGTTAATTGAGCCGAATGCGTGTGAACGGAAGACTTTTTTGAAAACGAATTCGGTGCGTAAACGCAAAGGTACCCGTTTCATCCTCGTGTAAATGGAGCCTAAGACACGTGTAGCAAATAACTCCTCCTCTTAGGGAAGTTCATTTTAAACCGGCATTTTCGCCCCTTATTGTGCTTTAAAGTTTACTTTCTTTAAAGGGCCTATTGTGCTTTTTGGTGGTTTCCCTTTCCTGTAGGGCAGGGGTGTCAAACTCAATTTCATCACGGGCCACATCAGCATTATGGTTGCACTCAAAGGGCCGGTTGTAACTTTAAGACTATATAAATAGACATATATAAATATTGAATATAATAATGTATTATATTAAATGATTGCCTCTGCATTGGATTATTATCGGATAGGGTAATAACTTCATAATTAACTACGTCTGAAAGCAGAAGTCTAGGGCAAGTAATTGCAAGTCTCTTCAGTAAGAATGTCACAATATGATTTTAAAAGAAAAGCCACATTCTGGAAAAACAAAACAAAAAAGTGACAGTTTGAAAAAAAAATCTATTTATGAGAAAAAGGATAATTTAAGGAAAAAGGCATATTTTGACAAAAGTCAAATTCTGAGAAAAAATGCATACTCTATGTTGAAGAAAAAAAGTCAAATTCTGAGAAAGTCAAATTTGAGATGCATTGTGGGACATGTCGTTTATGGGCAACGTGCTTCTGTAAATCATCATGTAACCGTATAATAAACATATTATATTCTTTGCAAGCTCTTGTGGGGCCACATAAAATGAAGTCGCGGGCCGGATTTGGCCCCCGGGCCTTGAGTTTGACACCCCTGCTGTAGGGTCTATTTTCTTATTTCCTTAAGGGGGGTGGGTAAAATATGGATATAAAAAAAAAGATGAGTAGAAGTAGCTCTATGAAATTCTTTAATATTCTATAACATCTACTGTGCTTTTTATTTTCCAGGATGGCTCCAGAGGTGATCTTGGCCATGGACGAGGGGCAATATGATGGCAAAGTGGACGTGTGGTCGCTGGGCATCACCTCCATTGAACTGGGTACAACATGCACGCTTAAATCAGATTAAACCAGATGTGATGAGTGTTAAGGGGATCATCTTTGCCAAGAATGGTTTTTTTGCACTTTTTTACTAAACTTGGATAAATCAGGGTTCATTTTATTGCGTCTCTTTGGGCTAATATGCAGTCTATGATTTATGTATGAGTGTTCTAATCCGGATTTAATATAGAAATAGTTTGAGATTAGATATCAAAGCTGTGTACCTTTTTTAAAAATGAATCGCCATGACTTTGTTTCTAAATGTAAATATATATCTTTTGACATTGTGCCGTTTCCTTTCCCCAGCGGAGAGGAAGCCCCCGCTGTTCAACATGAATGCTATGAGTGCCTTATATCACATCGCTCAGAATGAAAGTCCCATCCTGCAGTCCAATCACTGGTGAGGACATTTCTGTCTCCTGAATGAACGTTCAAATAAATAAATGAATAAAGCAATTTGCTATGATAAATATCTAAAGCACTTAAATTATTAACAACCACTGCGGCTCTCTGATTTTTAACACCCTTTCACAGCTTTTCCTGTGATGAGTTTTAAAAATAAATAATAACATCCATTATCTTTCTCTGCAGGTCTGATTCCTTCCGCAACTTTGTTGACTCTTGCCTACAGAAGATTCCCCAGGACCGGCCTACCTCCGACGTGCTGCTGAATGTAAGAACTAAACAAACTCATCATTATTTCACTAACAGAGTCTGCACTTTCTAGCTCTCAGTAATGTTGATGTATCTATTATTAACCGGTATATTTGTCTTTGATGATGAGGCATATTTAAATGAATTTAATTGTGAATCATTCATTTATTTACATTTTTTAAATAATAACTAAATAGAAATGGCTTCCAGTGACTTCCCTGCAGTGACAGCAGAGTTAAATAAAGAACGCAAATGTTGAATATGAACAACGCAATTTGACCAAATTAGTTTTTGTGTCTTTGCCTCAGATAGAAGATATTGTAGACCGTTTTTTATGTTGCTCTCGGGGCTGAGACCGCTGCCTCACATAATAAGCAGCATCAATTCAGCCACATTTCTTTACTTAGGCAAACATTTCTTCACAGGAAGTGACCATAAGTCTGCAAAAACGATCCGTATATGTATGATTTTATTGACCAATCCTTAAAAAAGTGAGGATGTCTTGCAGCATGCACTGGAGACGCGCTTAAATCACTTTAAAGTTATAGTAGATCACCCTTCAGATTTTAATGACATTAAAGTAAATCTTAAAAAAAGGGGTCAACTAAGGAGAATATGGTTGACCTGCCCACTGAACATAAGCCTTCTCAGCATTAGTCTTGCTTACATCTCCATCCTTTCTAACGCAGCATCGCTTCTTGTGTCGTGAGCGTCCGATGACTGTGGTCATGGACCTGATCGCACGCACCAAGGATGCAGTGAGAGAGCTGGACAACCTGCAGTACCGCAAGATGAAGAAGATCCTCTTCCATGAGACCCAACAGAACGGTCCCGTTTCTGAGGGAGGGGACGACGAGGAGGTGAGGAGCGAGGAGACGTGTAACGTATGGGCACATGTCTTTGAAGGGATACATCATTAAGAAAAAAAGGTGGAACAATGGTTAAATCCTGACATCATGTGGAGCGGAGTATTTAATGAATGTGTGTGTGTGTGTGTGTGTCAGGAGGTGGAGCAGTACCTGCTGCGGACAGGCACAGTGAACAGCATGGAGAGCTCCCAGTCGGTGCCCAGCATGTCCATCTCAGCCAGCTCTCAGAGCAGCTCCGTCAACAGTCTGGCCGACGCCTCGGACGACAGCAACAACGAGATGGCCATGATGCAGGAGGGCGAGCACACCGTCACCTCCAACAGCTCCATCATCCACAGACCCACGGTAACAACAACACATCTGCCAGGACCCAAAGTGCACAAACATAAACATTTGTTTTTATTTGATTTTCCATGAGTTTCTTGTGTAAGACTCTGTTGGCCAGTTGAATTTGAGGGACAGCTTGGCAACAGCTGCTGTCAGTTTTGAGGTCCGTGTCCTGTAACCTGTCATTTACCCCCAGGGATTTATATGCTGCTAGCTTTATCTCAATATTATTTGTGTGAACAGATGAATAATCTGTTTAAATGTGTAATCTGTAAATGAAAAGCACCTTTCACAAATGCAAAATAAAAAAGTATAAACTCACAAAAAAAATGTTGCAAACGAAATGATCTGCAAATATGCAAACATATTCCACATATACAAAGAAAGTCTGTGAATACTATAATTAGTTTACAACATTTACAGATTACACATTTACACACCAATAGTTTTTCACAATTACAATTTAGACAAATCTACCTCCATATTTTCATATAGTATTTTAATTTGAATAACTTCTCTCTTTGTGTTTCAATGTTTTTGAATTTAAAAAAAGTTTCAGTAGTCATTTTTTAAAACTCCAGTTTTGATTTGCAAATACGTTTTGAATGGACATTTCAAATCCAAATGTATTTTATTTGCAATAAAGCATTTTTGATGATAATGTCCGATGCTTCCCCCCACCTCCTCCCCAGGGTCAGGATAACATCTACGATGACCCCTACCAGCCGGAGATGGACCAGCCCCAGGTTCCCTCAGCCGGACGCCGCCGAGCCTACTACCGCAACCGGGACCACTTCGCCACCATCAGGACTGCCTCCTTGGTGAGTTAATAATAATAATAATAATAATAATAATACATGATACTTGTATAGCGCTTTTCTAGGAACTCAAAGACGCTTTGACAGAGAATAAAATAAAAAAACAACAAAAAAACAAAGAAAAATACAAAAAGAGATAAACAAAACAGAAAATAGGGGTCTTGTAGTCTTTGTATACACACGACTACAATAAGGGAAAATGTATTGAAATTAATTGAAAAATTGAAGATTTCCTAAAGTTTTGTGATTTGTGCGACATGACCCTTTATACAGTAGATCCACACTTTAATTCATGAACTGAACCCCCCCTTCCCCCCCTCCCCCCCTCCAGGTGACCCGTCAGATCCAGGAACACGAGCAGGGCTCTGCGCTCAGAGAGCAGATGTCCGGCTACAAGCGCATGAGGCGGCAGCACCAGAAGCAGCTGATGGGGCTGGAGAACAAGCTGAAGGCGGAGATGGACGAGCACCAGCTGAAGCTGGACAAAGAGCTGGAGAACCAGAGGAACAGCTTCTCCACCGAGGCCGACAAGCTGTCCAAGAAGCACCAGGCCATCCTGGAGAAAGAGGTGACCACAGAGCTTCACCTTTCAGTGGAATTTACCTGGAACAACAACCACAAGATCAGTGGGTGTTTGTACGGTTATATAGCACTACATGGAAGTGCTGCTGTATCGCTATCTAGGAGTAGGCTATGATGAGTTAGGAATCATGTTTAGACATTTTCAGGTTATGCCACAAAAAAAACAACTGAACATGACATAGTGGGCTTTAGTTTTGAAAATCCACATCAGTGACACTGGTGGTCTGCTTTCATTCTGAAGTCAGATTTGTCTTTGGGAAAACATTTATTATTTCATTTGACTAATTATTCACATACTAAAATGCTTGTTTTGATTGATTATTTAATGTTTATTCATTTTAGTTTTATTTATTAATATCAATAAAAAACAGACTTCATGTGAAAGTCAACACAATTTTACATTCAGTAAAAAAATAGGTCAGTTTGTCAAAAATATATTAACACATAAAAATGTATAATTAAATACTAATTAAATAAATGTTCTCAAAAATACTGTTTGCCGGCATTTATAAAAAGATCAATTATTATACAAGCCACTATACATTGAGAATATTCAATATATCATATGGCCTTTGAGCCCCTAACCCTCAATCCCCCTGCTGTTCCTCTACGCACTGAATTCTTTATTCTTATTATTCCGCCCGTTATTTTGCCGGTCTTCTTCTCCCACATTCCACATCGCAGAAACTCCGTTCAAACATCAAAACGTTCAGCTCGGTCGGGAATCGATGGCTATTACTTTTATCATTCATAACTTTCATAATTCCAGAGATACATCCCATAATTCATCACATTTTTAACCATTGAAGTCAATGGAGAAAATCTTCAGACTTGAAAAATCTTCATGCGACTTCAGCTGCTAACTGTTCATTCATACTTTCACTCAGAAACCTCATTCCAACTTTAAAATGTTACACATCTTTCTGACATTATTCGTGTAACACAACTTTTAAATCTGATTCTTACTTTTAGAGATATTAAACATTGTTCAGACCTTGGTAAAGAGGCTTTCTTCAGATTTTAACATTAACTAGAGTGCGTGATGTCACAGCTAGAGAGTAGGAAATCTTGAAATTTGCCTTCATATTTTTTTTTAAAACTGCCATAATTCCCAAACCCTACATTCCTGAGACATAATGTTTCATGACAAACGTAGGAAAACATCTCGTAGCTTGAAAAATGACAAATAATTAAGCAAAAATAATTAAACAAAATGCCTCTTGAGGGCATGAAGTGACAAAAACGTTCAACATGTCTCCATTAAAGCCCATTGTAATTTCAGGCAGATATTTCCTCATAACTTCAGTGAAAACGGCCCAAAACTTCACAGGTTTGGTAACGATGCAGCCATCAACGCATCTAAGCGTATTATGGGGTGTCATCAAATGCCGTTGCCATGGCGACAGACCACTCGCCATGAAGCACGATGTCGCTGTAAGTCCAATGGAAACGGTCCGATCGTCCCCCAAACTTCGCTTGTATATCACCGGTCCAGCCCTCAACAACTCTACGTCAATTATGGGGTTTCTTCAAATGCCGTTGCCATGGCAATACAATGCTCGCCATGAAACACGGTTTTCTCATAACTTCAGTGAAAATGTTCCAAACGGCCCAAAACTTCACAGGTTTGGTAACGATGCAGCCATCAACACATCTAAGCGTATTATGGGGTGTCATCAAATGCCGTTGCCATGGCAACAGATCATTCACCATCAAGTTAGTTCAAAAGTTTGCAGTTCAAATATTCTGCTGCTTTTCCAAGCCTTTTTACTTTCTTTTCTTCACTCATCACACATTCAAGCCCCCAGTGTTCATGTATCATTTCAATCTAAATTCTTCACTTTCTTCTTACACATTACATTTCAGCATAGCAGTTTAGCGTCAGCTTTTCAGCATAAAGCATTTCCACTAGCAATTTCTTCAGGAATTGCATTCTCTAGTTAATAAATGTTTTACTTTATTATTTGCCCCTTTTGTTTGTTTGTTTGTTTACCATGTAAAGCGGCCTTGGGTCCCTTGAAAGGCGCTATACAAATGTAATCTTTTATTATTATTATCACCCATCACCCATCTCTGGAGAATAAGCACTAAAGTTGTATTTTGAAATCTGACCTTTGACCTCCTGCAGACTAAAGCAGCTCTGGCTGAAGAGAAGAAGTTCCAGCAGCACATCCTGGGCCAGCAGAAGAAAGAGCTGACCAGTTTACTGGAGTCACAGAAACGGCAGTACCGCCAGCGCAAGGACCAGCTGAAAGAGGTCAGAACACACACACACACTCACTCACTCACTCACTCACTCACTCATCAAATCTAGGACTGCAGTTAAATGTTATTTTCATTATTGATTACAATGAAAGATTGCTTGTGTGATTAATAATTTAGTCTATGAAACGTAAAAAAATGCTTTCGGGAAAGTAAAAGGTTTGAATAGAAATGCAGTATTGTTTTATTAAAAACTACAGTATACAAAATTCTCAAAATATAAACCATTGACTTTCTATTATTTTATTTATTTATGTTTATATTTGCACAATGATTTTCTCATCATTTTAAAGATGATGTATTCTTTATTATGGCAGGACTGATGTTATTTATATCCAAACTGTTCTTGCACACAGTTTTTCTCACGCTGGTCTCTTATTTTCTCCTCTGCCGGGTCTCCCAGGAGCTGAATGAGAACCAGTCGACTCCGAAGCGGGAGAAGCAGGAGTGGTTGATCCGTCAGAAGGAGTGTCTGCAGCAGATGCAGGCGGAGGAGGAGGCCAGCCTGCTGCGGAGGCAGCGGCAGTACTACGAGCTGCAGTGCCGCCAGTACAAGAGGAAGATGCTGCTCGCTCGCCACAACCTGGAGCAGGACCTGCTGAGAGAGGTACCCCACCTCAAATCCAAATAATAATAATAATAATAATAATAACAACAATATTAAAAAACACAACAGTTGAATATAGTAGACATAAGACTGATCTTTCTGAAACGTGTATCAGCAAAAATGAAGCATTCCCTCTCCTGCTTCAAACTAAAGTTGAGTTTTCACACACAGTTAACAATAACAATGCAAATATTCTAGTGATATGCAGCTTGAAAAAGGAAAACAAAAATCTGAAAATAAATAGATAAATACAATTACATAAATATTTTTAAAAATGGTTCTCGTATGCAAAAAAGAATTCCAAAAAATAAAATCATTATTTGTCATTTATTAAATGAACCCGTCAGATCCATGAAAATGTCAAATCAAATCATTATTTGTCTTTATATTTCAGTGGAATTATTGTTGTCAAACTTTTAGGAAATTAGGCCATTTCCTGTTTATGTGCTCAAAAGAAGATATTTGTTGAATAGAACACAACAATTTCTTTATGGCAAATAAAAATAACAAAACATGAATACATCCATTCAACACCCAATACCAAAATTGCACTCAAAATACAAAATCAAACGGAACCATTTTTTCTTTGTTTTTTAAATAACTGGAAAATAAAAGCTCATTCCTATTTCAAATACATTATACATTAAAACATTGACCGTCTCAGGGAAAGTGCAATCATTTCTACACCACACTTAATGTTCCTGTCCTCCCTCATGTGTTTCCTCCCCCAGGACCTGAACAAGAAGCAGACCCAGAAGGATCTGGAGTGTGCCATGCTGCTGCGGCACCACGAGTCCACTCAGGAGCTGGAGTTCAGGCAGCTGGGCTCGGTGCAGCGGACCCGGGCCGACCTGATCCGCACGCAGCACCAGACGGAGCTCACCAACCAGATGGAGTACAACAAACGGCGCGAGCAGGAGCTGCGGCAGAAACACACCGTGGAGGTCCGGCAGCAGCCCAAGAGCCTCAAGGTGAGGGGGGGGGGGGGGTCTGCAGTATCTATCTATTATATATTTAATATCTTCATTATCTCATTTCGTAGATACATTCTGGAAATGTGTTGTATGTCCTGGATCATTTATTACCGGCAACCACTTTTAAACAAATATTTTGAGGAAATGTTTAATTAAGATTAATAATATTTGGCTATACGAATATCTTATCTTATTATTTTATTAAACTAAAGCTTTTTAGAGCACTATCAAGTATTCTCTTTAAAATAATATAAAGACAATTATATCACTTCATGATAGTGATGGCAAACTATTAAAACTAGATGTCATTACTACATCGTATGAAATAATAACTGAAATGATAATCATTAAAGGTAGGGTAGGTAAGTTTGAGAAACCGTCTCGAGATCGCTAGAATTTGAAAATACACAACCGGAGAAAATCTGCCACTTCCTTACAGAGCCCCTCCTCCAACACACACGAACGCACACATGACCAATGAGGGCACGAGATAAGTTTGTGCACAGATGGAAGGCTGACAGGCAGGTAGGCCATCCAGTTATTTTAGCCGGGCCGGCTAAAATGATTGGTCGTACTTTTTACAGTACTACGGCTTCCACAGATGACTTTTTTTTATGGATTTTTTGTCAAAGCACTTAAGATATTCATTGCTATCGGGATGTTAAGAGCATTCCATGGAATATAACAAAAAGTGTATCTCGAGCCGGTTTCTCAAACTTACCTACCCCACCTTTAATGAATGTCATTTGAATGCTTTCATCAACCAATAATTAAATGAATTGTGTTTTATTTATATATTTGTTATTGTATGTATGGTTATATTGGGAAAACAAAGAAATATGGTTAAACTTAAAAAAAGGTTTCACAATAAAAACATAATCTGCAACAACATTTTGATCAAATAAACTAAAATGTCATATGACCCTTAAAATGTAGTTTAAGCTTATTTTAGGTCTGTCCTCGACTAAGACATTATTATTTTAGGTCTGATACTACTGCATATTTTTTGTTGTTTTGAACATTTTCCATTTAATCTAAATAATTTATCTAAATAAAAATATTGTGATTTGGGAACATGTTGTCAGTAGTTCAGAAAATCAATTTAAAAGGTTTTTTGTGTATTTTACTCAAACAAACAACTAAAAATAGTAAAACCAGAGTTGTAGGTAGTGTTCAGTTTGTCAGCTATTTTTCAATTTAGTCTTAGTCCTGTGTCAAATGTCCTTGTTAGTTTTAGTCATATTTAGTCACCTTCATCCTGTTTTCATTTAGTCAAGTTTTAGTCGACTAAAAGTCTGAGCATTTTAGTCTTATTTTAGTCCACTAAAACTAACTATTTTAGTCTACTTTTTGTTAATGAAAACTGTTGACATTTTAATCTCTTTTTAGTCATCAGATTATATTGAACATTTCAGTCAAACTAGTCTAGCCAAAACCAATCATTTGTCATTTTAGTCAAACTTATTTCATAATAAGATGATATCTTATCCTTATTTGATGAAAAACACAGGTTGAATGATTAAGAATGCAGCTTTTCAGAGAGTATCTGGTCAGGTTTGTGGTGTTTTTACCAGCTGTGTTATGGCCACATTGCTTCCCTTCTGATAAAACAATGCATTCACTTTTCTTCTCCGCCTCATTGTAGCGAAAATGGGCCCAAATATGGCCTTGTTTCTTTCTCCCAGGCAGTGGTGTCGTTAGACTTTTTCGTTGTCCGTCATTTTGACGGACAGGATCGTAACATTTCCGTCATAATCCGTTATTACCCGACGGGTCTGTACACAACTCGTCACTCACTCGCGCTGACGTGGGAGATATTCGGTTAACGCAGGGGTGTCAAACTCAAATACACAGTGGGCCAAAATAAAAAAAAATCGGTAGTAGTCCATGTAAACTCAGTTTGCTGCTCTGTGATGCTAGTTCAAGCCAGATACTTGGCATCTCATCTTGGGTGCAAGTTCATCAATGTTTGGGGTCAGGCTCTGAGCTGAGGAAACTCTCAGGATTGAGTGAAGGTGTGCGTGCAATATACCGGCGGGCCAGATCTAATAGTAATTAGAAATGATCCTGCGGGCCGAAATTAAATCCACCACAGGATTTGGTCCGCGGGCCTTGCGTTTGACATGTATGCGCGACCACTGCTCCCAAGCCCTGTTGTTGCCATTTTCCTTTCTGTTAAATAAGGTTAGTTAGATCCGAGTCTTCCTGACTGTCAGTGTGCCGCTGCCCGGTGTAATTCAAATGTACCGCGCGCAGCACAGACACACAGCTGCTGCCCAGCCGCAGCACCGGAAATGGAACTGCTGGGGAAAAAAACGGACTATCAGAGATGTAACGTTATCTTTGATTATATTTAGTCTCCTCATTTTTCGTCAACGAAAGTAAAGAGAGATTTTGGCAACGTTTTTATTTAGTAAACTACATTTTCGTCTTGTCCTTTTTCGTCAACGATATTGCATGATGATTTCGTTACAGTTATTGTTTACTGACGTCGGTGCGGTCTCGTCTTAGTCATGGAAAAAAAGGTCGTTGACGAACATATTTCGTCATAGTTTTAGTCAACGAAATAAACACTAGTTGTAGGTCATGCAGTGTGAAAAGTAAACAAAAGAAAATGCTTAGGAAATTGCCCAAAACAACAATCAAGTCCACTAAACTATTCAGATGGGGCACCCCAAAATTACAATATAGAAAATATTTGTATATTACTTTGGTGTTATCTGACTGATTTTACTATCGTTTCAGACCAAAGAGCTCCAGATCAAGCGTCAGTTCCAGGAAACCTGTAAGATCCAGACCCGGCAGTACAAGGCGCTGAGGAACCACCTGCTGGAGAGCACTCCCAAATCCGACCACAAGGCCGTCCTCAAACGCCTCAAAGAGGAACAAACACGTAAGCTGGCCATCCTGGCCGAGCAGTACGACCACTCCATCAACGACATGCTGTCCACACAGGCTGTGAGTAAGGCAAGGAACCTCCGCGCACCGCGCACCGCCACACCAACACAGACACACACTGCAACAACACATATTTATCATATTAACACAATAAAAACAAAGTAGTATTTTAGGACATCTACAAAGAAAATCACCACCTTTTTTATTTTGCTGGATATACACTATAGCATTTTACAGAAGTGATTCAAAGCATTAAAAAACATTTATAAAAGCTACAAAAAAAGCGTAGAGTGCAGTGTAACACAATTAGTAATTATTTAGTTCTAAATAATAATTCAGAAAATGGTTGAATTTCACACGTAAACAAATTCCAAATGAACAAAATGGGGAAAAAAGAGAATCTTTGAAAAACTCAAAAGTAAAAAATCATAACTCAATGATATGGGTTATTAATACAGTATAAATCTTTTGACTAAAAATGTTTTGAACAAAAGACACTTAATATATTTAATCCTAGAGACAAAGCTATTATTTCAATAGCTATTTAATTTATTGGCAGCGATATTGTTAATTGTTTTAATGATGTAAATCATTAATAAACAAAAATAACCTTTTTTCATAATTATATATAATTTGTAATTGTTGGTCAGGCAAAAACACTTTTATTTTTTATTTAGGCAATTCCTTATTTTGTGAAATGTACCTAAACTTTGAACAAAAAAAAAAGTTCAGCAGATCAATGATTATTGGTTGCGATTAGTTTAGTATAATTCTTTATTTAAAACACTGAATAACACACTCGTATAAACAAACCGTCCAGCTGTCCTTATCATCATGAAGCCCCTCCGGTGCTGATGCTCGTCCCGTTTTGTCCCCTCAGCTGCGCCTGGATGAGACGCAGGAGGCGGAGTACCAGGTGCTGAGGATGCAGCTGCAGCAGGAGCTGGAGCTGCTGAACGCCTACCAGAGCAAGATCAAGATCCACACGGACACGCAGCACGAGAGGGAGGTCAAGGACCTGGAGCAGAGGGTGTCCATCCGCAGAGCGCTGCTCGAGCAACGGGTACGTTACAACACCTCTTCAAACAATACACCAAGCAGCTTTTATTGTTTTATGTCGGCCAGTCTTTTTAAACCACAACACCATATGAGTTTCATAAGGGTCCATTAGTGTTCATAGTTGTTACTTCGTTAAGAAAAAAACTCACAAATGAACCAAACAAAGCCATTTGACTTCCGTAGATATCCGTAATAATAAGAAAAACACTCAGAAACATCTAAAGCCAAACATACACGAGTGAAAACAAAATCCCAGATTTAAACAAATATAATTGACCTACAAAATCGCAAAAAAACAAACAAATCATCAAAAAATGTACATGAAAAAACTCAGAAATGTAGACAAACGTTACAAACGTACACATTTACGTGAAAAAAATCTCAAATCCATAAGGGAAAAACATACAATAGATAACAAAAAGGAAAACTGTGTAATTACCCTTGTTCAGATCGAGGAGGAGATGCTGTCCCTGCAGAACGAGCGCTCGGAGCGGATCCGGACTCTGCTGGAGCGGCAGGCGCACGAGATCGAGGCGTTCGACTCGGAGAGCATGCGGCTGGGCTTCAGCAACATGGCGCTCAGCGGGATCCCTGCTGAGGCCTACAACCAGGGCTACCCCACCCCCAGCCCCTCCTCGGGCTCCAGCGGCTGGCCCTCGCGGCCCGTCCCTCGCTCCGGCAGCCACTGGAGCCACAGCGTGCAGAACTCGGTGTCCACGCCCTCCTGGCGCAGTCAGAACCACGGCGGGGGGGCCTTCAGCCGCGCAGAGTCCGTCGCCTCGTCACACGGCCTCGGCAGGGACAGCGAGATGTACAAGAGCGGCAGCCGGGGTCACTCCTCCTCCTCCTCCTCCTCGTCCTCCTCTTCCTCCCACCCCTCCCATCACCCCTCCCATCACCCCTCCCACCACCACCACCACCACCACCACCAGCAGCAGCAGCAGCTGCTGCTGCAGCAGCAGCAACTGCAACAACAACAACAACAACAACAACAACAACAACAACAACAGCAGCAGCAGCAGCACTACCTCCCCCAGCACTACCAGCACCACCAGAGCACGCCGCAGCTGTACCGCGACCCCCATGAGAGCAGGGAACGCGAGCGGCCCCGGGAGTGGGGGGGAGGAGCCAGCAGCCACTACCCGCACCACTCCCAGGGACACCACCACCACCACCACCTCGCCTCCCACGCCTCCTCCCAGTCTCTGGCTCTGCTGCCTCCCCCGCCACCGCCTCCTCCAATTTCCCTGTCTTCCTCCTCTCCTCCGTCCTCCGCCTCGTCCTCTTCGTCGTCACAGGGAGGATACGGTGGCGGTGGCGGCCTGAGCATCAGGGGCCCGGGCCTCATGGCGCTCAGGAACAGCCCCCAGCCCCTGAGGAGGACGGCGTCCGGAGGGCCGGGGGGAGGCGGGGGGAGTGACGGAGGGCTCAGCCGGAGCACGTCAGTCACTTCTCACATTTCTAACGGCTCCCACCTCTCTTACTCCTGATTCTCCTCTCTGATCTGAGCTCTGCTTCTTTTTAAAAGAGAGCTTTAGGTTTTTGACATATTTTAAGATGCTTCTTAGAGCCGGAGCAAAGTTAATACTTAAAAAACAACAAATACCCCGATTTTAAATGTAAATTATTTCCTTTCCTGATGTGTGCAGGGACTTAAAAGTGTTCCTGATGCACAAAGAGAGGACGCCTTTTTTTATTTAGTCACTACACAAGTATTAAAATCACTGCTAACCTCTTCCAAACATTATTAAAGAGTTGCACAGGAGGTGTCGGAACTAAACAATCCCAACAAATGAAACACAACGTCCACATGTGAAAATTGAGCCATGTGCCGCAAAATGAACAAGACAAAGTTTATCTAAAAAAAAAAAAAACAGACCAGAATTTGTGCATTTGTTCATCGTGCGCCACATTGAATCTGTTGCACAGTAACGGTTGAGCTGCAGAGAGCGGGTTTAAAGTCTAGCAGGTCTAAATTCTGGTTTTCAGGCGACTGTTGTGGAGCTTCCACTTGGCTAGCGGTGCTTTAAAAACCACTGTAACTATGTAAATAACGGTAAATTGTAAACCAAGTTTTTTTTCTTTTCTTTTCTTTTTTTTTTTTTAAAAAGTGACATATGTTCAGCGAGGCGGGCGGAGGGGCGGGGTCGACCAAGGGAAGATTTCTAGAAAACACATTTCTTTTTATTTGTAGTGATAAATAAGGTTCTGTAAATGACAATTTAAAGAAACACTGCCACCTGTTTGTTGGGCTGACCCAGGACAACTCTACCACTGCCCTTAAGTCCCCTTAAAGGGGCGGTCTGCCTGTTTGGGAACTTTGGTGGTTTTTTTATCGCGCATAAGGGACATTGTAGGTATATAGAAATAACAGAAATGACCCTTACCCGGGAGGGGAGGGGAATAATATTCTGAAATAATTTAGAATTTACAAGATTTAAGTGTTACTTTTAAGAGAGAAAAAAAACTCATCAATGTACAAGAAAAAAAGTCATTTTACTGGATAAAACTCAAATTTATGAGAAAAACTACTATCTTTTAAGTTAATTTACAGAATAAATTATCTGTCTTACATTTACTATATAAATAGTTCAAGGGGAAAAAAACTGATTCATATCAAATTGATAATAAACATTTGGATACTCAGATTTATTTTTACTTCAATTAGGCTTTTCCAGTGCAAATTAATGTCTAAACCAAGACAATTACTTGATTTTTAAACCATTTTTTAAAATTATAATTATACCACTTACACAATCATTTACATTTTAAAAAGCAAATCATAAAATGTCCCGAAATGTCTGACTGCTCCTTTAAAGGGACGTTGCCAGAGAGTATTTTTTGTGTGTGTGTGTGTGTGTGTGTGTGTGTGTGTGTGTGTGTGTGTGTGTGTGTGTGTGTGTGTGTGTGTGTGTGTGTGTGTGTGTGTGTGTGTGTGTGTGTGTGTGTGTGTGTGTGTGTGTGTGTGTGTGTGTGTGTGTGTGTGTGTGTGTGTGTGTGTGTGTGTGTGTGTGTGTGTGTGTGTGTGTGTGTGTGTGTGTGTGTGTGTGTGTGTGTGTGTGTGTGTGTGTGTGTGTGTGTGTGTGTGTGTGTGTGTGTGTGTGTGTGTGTGTGTGTGTGTGTGTGTAACCTCCACCCTCCACCTGTTGTTTCCCCCCTTCTTCACAGTCTGCTCTGCATCTGTAGATAGATGTACATGTTGCATTACAAATAAATGAGTTGCAGTGCATGGATCTTGTGTACAGACGCCATTTGTATGGATAACATGCACACTACCTATTTATATAAATGCGTATAAATAAATGTAAGATACCTGTAAATGTAGCAGGTATATACTGAAGATTGTTCACTGTCCAAACACTTTGACTTGCATTGTACTTAGCAGTGTACATAAAGCACTAACTGAGACTGTGTTAGAGTAATAATAATGATGTACGTGTTGTTTTAGACAAATAGACGCTATCATTATTATTACCTCTACTGCAGCTGTAATATTTATGTTGTATGCTCATTTTTAACCACTAGGTGGGGAAATAAGCGCAATTTTACTGTGATAGAGCTATAAAAAAAAGAAAAAAATATTAATGTTTCTAAGGACTACCTTTCCCAGCATTCCTTTGGGCAGGCCTGAGTTCCACTTTTGACCTTTTATTTTTTTGAGCCAGTATTAAAGTGTGGAACGTCCACAGTGGAGCCGAGTCATTTTCATAATCTTCAGACTATTTCATGACGTTTGGTGCCATGGTTTTATCTCTATTATTATTTTCCAGCTCATAAAACACTGTAACCTGACAAATATTTTGCCACAAAGTGTTCAATATTTAGTAATATAAATACGCATTATGACATGAATGGTAATATGAAAATACATTGTGTCAAATATATATATATTAAGTTCTCCAGTTTGTGGAGAAAATGTTTCAACTTATCTCATTATCTTAAGTGTTATTTTATTAATATGACAAGTAATGAGTTTAGTTTAAATAAGAACATTCACAAATATTTGTTAATTTCTTTATATTTTACATCAAAGATAACAGTTTTTATCAGATATTACTTTAATGTCCTATACAAAATGTTTTTGCGTGTAAAATATATAAAGAATTATTATGAATGATAATGACTTGTTGTGCTATAGTTGCTTATTGATCAGATATTGAACACTTTGTGGAGCTTTATTTGCAGGACTTTTCTGGATAAACAGCTCATCATTTGATTTTGCACGGCGTGAATGGGTAGAAAAATCATCGGGTCACTTCCTGCAGCGGCGGGAAATATCAGCGGACTTCCTGCCAACATGGCGTCTGCAGGAGGCCGGCCTCAGTGTGATCTGATGCTGTCTGTCGCTGTCACGTCTACCTCATTTGCACTGATAGTAAAAGAATGTTTGGGCGGACTTCAAATAATACTTCTTTTTTTTGAACGCAGACTTTGTATTATTGCTTAAATGTTTCAGTTCCTGTTTGTGTGCAACTGTTAGACAGGAAATGCAGAAGGAGGGGTTGGAAAACAGAGTGGAAGCTGGGAAATGTTTATAAATGTCATCTTTACAAGCTGGACTTTTAACACTAAAAGATATTCAGGTGGAGAAAACAAACTCACCCCACATGTTGTGCTGATCTGTGTTGATGGAGAGGACTCCCTCAAAAAAAAAAAACCTCAAGAAAATGTTTGTGAGATTTCATTTTGCCAACTTTTATTTTTATTTTTTAAATGCATTGTTTTGTAAAGATGTTCCAATGCTTATCATTCCGGAGATGCTTTTATGTTTAATGCTGCACTCTGAATACATCTCCTGCAGAGAGACTAGAGGTCAATTCTTCCTGTTTCTATTGTTGAGTTCACTGACATCAGGATTTCTGTGTTTTCATCTCCTCAAAATTAAAGGAACATTTTGGGAAATGTGCAGGTTTGCTGTCAGATCAGTCATTATTTTATTAATGTCAATTTATTTGACAAAAGAAAATGTCTTGTTTTGTCCGAACAGAAGTCCAAAAGCTCTAAATATTAGGTTTAAAATATGTAAATTCAACAGTTTTTAAAATGGGAAGACACTGCTAGTTCCAGACTGATGGCAAACAAGCACATTTCCCATAATGCCGTGCTGTTATTCCTTTAATTCATCAATAGTTTTACTTCATTTTCTATATTTCTCCTGATGCAGTTGTATATGTTTCTGTGGGACAAAGTCGCCTCATCCACAGGAGACACCTTCCTCCCCCAGAAAAGACAGAAAGAAACACGTTTGTTTGTGGCCTGCAGGAAGATAACTGACAGGAAGGATGAAGATGATGAACATGAGTCTGATGGATGTGTGATGGATGGATTTCAATCTTGTTTTTACAGCTGGAGGTCGAGTTTAACATGTTCAGGTTCAAAATGTTGAGACATTAGTTGTACAGAAACGTAAGGGAAAATACTTTTGGAGAAATAAATGAACAAAAACAGAAGTGTCTGTGTACTTTATCCTCAAACTAATTTAGTAATACAATCTGAAAATAGCAAAATAAAAACATGCCATAATGTAAAAAATATTTATAAATTCAAAACCATTATTTTGACGAAACTAAGTAATAATGGTAAGCACCTAAGTAGAAACGTACAAATAAGGAACAAAGTGGAAAACATTTATTTTCAAGACTAAATACATTAAATTACGTGTTTTTTCAATATTCTTGTGATATATTGTTTAAGGGTACTACAATTTCTTTATTCGCGTATATCTTTGTCTAAAATGTCTTATCCTGAAGGAAATTAACTTCCGGTGACCTAAAACGTTATTAAAGGGGAGGCGCGCGCTGCACGTTGTTGGCTGCTTCCCAAGACGTCACAATATCAACCAACCAACCAGAGAAGCCGTGAAGTCACTCAGACCGGATAGAGAAACAACAAGAAATTGTCACAGTAAATGCCTGCATTGAAAATGATCCTTAACTTAATGTATGAAAAGAAGCATACTTTAAAAAATGTAGTCACAGTTTAAAAAATATTAAAATGTACAATACTGTGCCTTTTATAACTAAAAACCATGATCCAAAAATGTTTCATTACAAATGTATTATATATTTTAGTATTCATTCATTGATCAATTGTTAAGTGTTGTTTTCAGTCTGTATGTATTTTCTTTATCAAACTTTACAAAAAAACAACTCGACAACCAATAATTATTTCAGAGGCTTGTTATTTTTGCTTTTAAAATGGATAAAATGAGAACTGACTTTTCTTCACTAAATGAACCATTATGAAGCTTTAATTCTGAAATGTAACCGGAAGTGGTGTTTCTGTTGTTGCTTGACGTTTAGCTGCTGTGAGGAAGTCATCGCTCAACTAGCATCCTGTCGCTTTGAGGGAGCTTCTCTTTCAAATAGGAGTTATAATACGAAGCTAACAGAGACATAACACGACAAAAACATCAACAATGGAGCAAGAAAATATTTTCTACTTCGTTCCCAATTTAATTGGTGAGTATTTTACTGTTTTCACCGTTTACTGTAGCTAGTTTAGCGTTAGCCTACATACAGGGGATGATGCTGGAAGTCACACCAAAGTCCATTCAAAGGGCCACAGATAGAAAGATCAAACATTATATGTATCTTTGTATCTATCTATTACACTGAATTCATGTATTTGTTTTCTACTTCTTGCTTTGTTTATTGTGACATCTTTTTCTCCAGGCCTCTAAAATCCCAATAAAGATAAATCCCTCTTGGTTAGTTCTGTAATATTGTACGAAAACAGATCATGTAAAAAGTGCATTTAAATGTTTTTAAAAAGAAGCTCAGTCTATTTACTTCATATGCTGCTGGATAGTTTAGTTCGTAATAAATAAAGCTACTGATTAGTACATCGACAGAATCATTTTGATAAATGTTAAATCGTATTTTGTCCTGCACTTGTGTCTTTAAATACTGTTTCCGGCGACCTTGAGAGCCCTGAAAGGCGACTATATCAATAAAATGCATTATTATTTTCAGCGTCGGAAATATGGAGTTTTTTTATTATTCTGTTTCGATCAAAGGAATTCTCTTTTAGCTTTTGGACTAACAACATCGAAGCGAAATCCGGCAGCTATAACACTAGCCCCCATCAAACACTACTCTATTAATATAGAGTAGTAAAAACCACAACAGTTTCCTCTATTGTAGTGGAGTATTTCATATAGCATAACAATCATTATTACTCAAGTCCAAAAACTAATCCAATAAGATGATACTTGAATGATCCTATCAGCTAAACAGCATGTCATTAATGCATTATGTTTGATCCAATAATACAATACAATAGAAATGGACCATTCTACATAATAAGAACTATTATATTTGGCATTTAAAGTACATTTTTGGCATTAACACCCTTTTGTTGGTTTAATCCTTCCATCACTGATGTTAATTCTAGATAGCAAAGAAAAGTCTCTGTCCTCTGTAAATAATCAAACACATACATCAGGGCTTTGTTATGATTTAGTTTGTATTTGTTTGCTTTTAAGTTTAGTCTTGACATTAATGGTAACAAAGGCATGTCCAATTCCTTGAGCTTTAAATAAAGTTTGATTCAAAACAAGTTTTCAATGCAATTATGTCGCTCATACGTTTATGTAATGGAATGATGCTTTGTTGTTTTCTACTCTAATATACATGAATGCGGTGCTGCTGAGTCTGTGTAACCCTTCTAATGTTTCATATCTGATGTAAATTGTATTCTGTGCTTCTGTACGCACTGTCATTGTGAAACAGAAGAGCTCACAGCTGTGTTTGTGCTTCAGGTTACGCCCGCATCGCGCTGGCGTTCATCTCCTTCCTCCTGATGCCCTGCTGCCCCTGGCCCGCCGTCTTCTGCTACCTGCTCAGCGCCCTGCTGGACGCCTTCGACGGCCACGCCGCGCGGGC